CAGCCTCACTGCCGGGGAAGCGGTGACTTTCCTGAGAGTCGTGGTGTCTGGAGCCGTCCCTGGCCTGCTCTCGGTGAGATTCCCGAGCTGCTGGAGTGGCAGACCGGTGCTGCCTGGGGGCCGAGTCACTGTGCTCATCATAGTAAGTGTGGTAGAGGTAGGGCCCTGAGTTTTCGGACCTCTCCCCGGACCGGGCTTGCGTGGCCTGCTGGCAGTGGCCCCGAGAGGCCCCTGAGCCATGCTGGGCTGACAGTGAGTGACCTTCTGAGTCTTCTGAGTGTCCCTCACTGTCACTGGCCTGGCTGAAGCTGGACCCTTGGCGCCTGTGCTCCCGGGGCTCTGGGGCTGGGTGTCTGTGTCCAGCACCGGGTTGTCTGTGGCTGTCTGCTTCCTGCCGGGGTCTGCTGGCCTGCTGTTCTCTCCTGCGGGATCCAGGCTGTCCTGGAGCGCCATCAGGCTGCTCGTGGGCCTCTGGCTGTCGGTTGTGGGACCCTGAGTGCCTAACTCTGTCTGGGGTCTGGCCAGCGCTGGGTCTGTGTGGTTGCCTGGTGCTGGGACCGGACCTAGCCGGCGCTGATGAGGGTCGTCTGGCAGAATCTTCGGGGTGTCCCTCGCTTTCACTGTCCTGGCTTACGCTGGGCTGGTGGTGTCGTTCGGGCCGGGATGGAGACTGTACAGGTCTATCGCGGGGGTGTCCGGGCCTGTCTCCGGACTGTTCTCTGTGGTGGGATTCTTGTGGTCCCCTGGGGCTATGTCTTGCCTGTCGCTGGGAAGAGCCGGGCTGCCTGTCAGCAGAGTTGTCTAGTTGCCCCCTATAACTTTGAGGTTTTTCTGCTCTAGATCCCAATTGTTCCTCTTCTTCCTCTGTGTAGTATGAATCAGTATAATATGGTTCTTGCCATTCTGCATAGACATTTTCGTTTTCATCTCTGTCATGTGTTTGGTTCCTACTCTTCTTGTGTTTTCTGTTTCTGCTGTCATTAGAGTGAGACCTTCTCTTTTCCTTTCTGGTTGAGTCTTGTTGACTTTTATGAAGTTCTCCTTTTCCTCTCTGGCTTTTTCCTCCCTGTCTGTCTGAGCTTGTTCCATGTCTGCCTCCTTTCCCGCTTGGACTCCTTGATGGTTTCCTTCTCACTTTTCTCTCATTGCTTGTTGATTGACTGGATGTTCTTCTTCTGAATGTTCCTTCTTCTTCATCGTCAGTTTCTTCTTCAGCCTCTTCCTTCTTGTGAGTATGCCTCCTGTGCTTTAATCCTGCTGTTTTCAGATTCCCCTTCTTTGTGGAGTCATAATATGCTTGAGCCAACTTAAGTACCATCAACAAAAATTCCGTGAAATCGATTTCATCATTGTGGTCTACATCCAGGATTTGCATGAATACGTCAGCAGTGTCAGGGTCATCTGGGTTCTGGAGGTTAAATTAAAGAGTGTGAATATTTTAGATAGATGTACTTTATCACATTTCCCAAAATTATTTTAGAATGTGTTCTGTCTTGATATTGAGAAGTGTAACCAATATCTTTAATATTTATATGTTTGTAGTTTTTGTGCCTTTTTATGTCTTAGTTTGTAATCATCTGTGTTATGCTGATATAATCTCTGTAGTGTAGTTTTGATTAGGAAAAATGTGTCATGAAATAAGTGCCTTTTTAACTTCAATTGTCTATTGTTTACAATTTTTTATTTGTCTTTAAATATATTTTCTTGCCAATGTTGGTATCATTAAGAATGTACAATGAGCTAATTGGTACTCATTTCTTTGTAATTAATTATCTTAATTTTCATTTTATTGTAATGTCTGCATATGCCTATGTGTGGTTTCAGGGAAGAAAATAAATTCTACTTGTTTTGAAATAACACCATTTTTGTAATCTAGATGAAATGGTTTAAAGAATATTTAAAATAATATTTGAGTCCCTTAGTTGTGAAAAACAGAATTTCTCTACTTTTTTGATCCTTTCAATTTGCTCTTACCCTTAGGATTGCTCGAAATTCCTTTTCCAGTAGCTCCTTCAGCTCTTCTTTGCTCATTGTTTCGATCTTGTTATCTTTTGCTGAATATTGATGAAACAGTTCAGTTATGGCAATGACGTTTTCCATGAGAGTGGACATATTTTGGTAGTATATATGAACCTAGAAGGAAAATATGTTTAACTCCTTGTAGTTTTTCTATTTTTAGCTTATTATATTTATATATTAACTTATTATATATTTTAGCTTATTATATTGATTTTTTCCAATTAAACTTGTATCTTTTTCTTAATACTCTCATGAAAGTTGACCATGACAAACTGCATTCTACTATGAACAAAGTATTTGACTCATGTACAGAAGCAGCCTATTCCTAGACCTTGAACCTACTCATAGGATTATAGGGAGTCTCTTTATCCAGACACTAGACAATTTAAGAAAACAAATATAGTAAAGTTGTTCTTGAAATCTAATTTATAAAAGGTTCAGTAGCTCTGAGTAAGTTTTTCTTAAAGCCAAATTGTCAAATAGCTAGAACTAAGTGAAAATTTACTTCATTTACTTTTTGGAAAGCATTTTATGAAGTTTGCAGTGCTTTTTTTTTCTGCTTATGTGGTGCTGAGGAATTGAACCCAGGGCCTCATGCATGCAAAGCAAGCGCTCTACTACTGAGCCACATTCCCAGCCCCTGCAGTGCTTTTAATTAGAATAGCTTTAATAGTTTTTTGATATTATAAGAATGTTTTGGTGTGGCTTTTTTTCATTTTGTTATTTAAGGTACAGTATTTAAGGACTATTCAATTTATCTCTTCTCTGTGAGGAACATCAATCAATAACTTAATATAAAAATATAAAAGTTTTCCAGTGACTACTTCAGATCTTGCAAAACCAGATGAAACTATATAGTATAAAAAACAGTAATGTACAAGATGCCGTTATAATAGAAGTTAAGTAATATGGACCTTGGATATTTTTTGGGAAGAAGTAGATATTAAATTTTTCCTATGGTTCAGTTAGACCTACATTTTGATATTTTAAGATACCTACTAAAAGATTACATGGTATGCTAGGTCTGGTAACTCATGCTTATAATCCTAGCTACTGAAGAAGTTGTGATCAGAGGATTGTGGTTTGAAGCCTGCCAAGGCAGATAAGAGTCCATGATATTTTCAACATGATATTTTTAACTACCAAAAACCAGAGGTGGAGTTGTGGCTCAATAGGTAGAGCACTAGCCTTGAGTAAATAAAGAAAACTCAGGTTCAGTACTCTTACCCTGAATTCAAGCCTCAAGGTGGACAGCAAAGAAACAAAAACAAAAGAAAACAAAACAAAAATCAGACAAAACACATTTAAAAAGCATTATAGGAAATACAGAAATAAAACCTCTAGGAGTAATACAAGATAAAGTTATAAATATGGATCCAATGATGATGATTTACAGAATGATTTACTATGATTCTGTTTTTAAATGATTATTGAGATCCTGTGTGTGTGTGTGTGTGTGTGTGTGTGTGTGTGTGTGTGTGTGTGTGTGTGTGAGACATAGAGATCACGCCAATTTATTGAGGCTTCCATTCAGATTGGAAGTATATACTATTTGGAGTTAAGAGAGCATTGTAAAATTTATGAAAGGTAATAAGGTTAAAGATATTAAAAACTTCAATCAAGATATAAAAAAGGAAGCCAGAGCTAGACACATGATAGTAAAACTGATGAACACTTAAGGCAGTGGAAAGGTCATATAGACAACCATGTAAATACACATACTGTCTTTTTTTTTTTTTGTCAGTTTTAGGGCTTGAACTCTGGGCTTGAGCTCTGTCCCTGTGCTCTTCAGTTCAAGGCAAGCGCTCTACCACTTGAGCCATAGCGCCACTTCTGGTTTTCTGGTGGTTAATTGGAGATAAGAGTCTCACGGACTTTCCCGCACAGGCAGGCTTTGAACCATGATCTTCAGATCTCAGCCTCCTGCGTAGCTAGGTTTACAGGTATGAGCAACCAGCACCAAGCTTGTATGCTGTCTTTAAAGTAGCAACAAAAATGATAGTTGTGTTTTAAAAGAAGCAATGGAAGCCAAATGATAACGAAATGATGTTCATCTTTCTGTAGGAAAATAGTTTCTATCCTATTACTTTATATCCAGAAAAATGTCAATCCAAAATAAGGTTAGGTACTTTTAGTAAATGAAAATAGAACTAACCAACAGAAGCCTATTGTGAAGGAAAAATTAAGGGTAACTCTGTTTGAAAGCCTAGAGCAATAGGAAAGAATGAGTGATAATGGAAAGAATAAATGTATCAGAATTATAAATCACTATCAGATGCATAAAATGATTATACTATATTTTTAGAGTTATAAAATGGATATAATTTAAATTCATAATAGTAGGTTTGGAAGAGGTAAACGTTGGCTAACGCCTGTAATCATAGTTACTCAGGAGGCTGAGATCTGAGGATTGTGGTTCAAAGCAGCCTGTGCAAGAAAGTCCATGAGACTCTTATCTCCAATAAGCTACTCAGAAAAGGCCAGAAGTAGCTTTGTGGCTCAAGTGGTGGAGCACTAGCCTTGAGCCAAAGAAGCTCAGGGATGGTGCTCAGGCTCCAAGTTCAAGCCCCAGGACCAGCACAAAAAGATAAAAAGTTGCAATCAGTTTGAACATTTAGATGAAATAGACACTTTTCTAGAAAAAGCTCTTACCTATGCTGAACCAACCATCAACAGAAAACCTAAACAGTTCAGTTTTTATTGAAGAAATTGAATCTTAAATGTATACATTTCCAGTGGGAGAGAAGCTTCTGGCAAAATGGCTTTTCTGGTGAATCCTATTGAATGTCTAAGGAAGCAATAATACTGTCATCCATTACAGATTCTTTTAGAGAAATGAAAAATAGGAAACATTCCTCTACAAATGGAGTATAACCTCATTACAAAAAATGGAAATTTCAGGCTGGGCACTGGTACCTCACCTTGTCATCCTAGCTACTCAGAGGCTGAGATCTGAGGATCGTGGTTCAAAGTCAGCCTGGGCAAGAAACTCTGTGAGACTCTTATTTCAATAAATCACTCAGAAAACCACAAGTGGTGCTGTGGCTCAAGTGATAGAACACTTGCTTTGAGCTGAAGAGCTAAGGGACTGCTCCCAGGCCCAGAGCTCAAGCTCTGTGACTGACAAAAAAGAAAAAAGAAAAAGAAATGGAAAAGTCAAGATATGCCTCTAATCTCAGCTGAGACAGGAGGAGTGTGAATTCAAGACCTGCCTGCCTCTAATGAGATCCTGTCTCAAAAAATTTGCAAATCATAAAGAAAAAGATTGATAAGTTAAACTTGGCTACAGGTAAGAATGTCTGTTCATTTAAAGATATCATTAAAGAGAGGAGAAGCCACAGAATAAGAGATTTGATATAACGCATTTAAATCAATAAAGAGCTCTCTCTCAAATATTAAAACAAGCCCTACAAATCAATACAAAAATACAGAAAATCCAGCAGAAAAATAGGTATCTTCACAGCAATTTCAGAAAAAGGTATCCAATGACCAATAAATGTATCCAAAGTTTCAACCATGTTAGTCACTAAGGAAGATGTAAATTGGAATGACAATGTTAGACACACTTCTAAATGACTGAAAAGATAAGAAGAAAAAAGAAACTTTGACATCCAAATACAGAGACTTGAGATCTTTGATATATTGCTAGAAAGGGTATACACTGGCACAAAGCATTTTAGTAAATTGCCTGACAGTATGTTAGACTCTTAGGATATTTCCAACAGAAATATATACGTATATGTAACCAAATTCATGCATAAATGCTCATAGCTCCATTACTTACTCTAGATCTTTGGATAAAAGTAATCCAGCTATTTATCATCTAAAAATAAATATGCAAATTGAAGCATTTTGTGTAACATCAAAGCCAGAGGTTAGAGATTAGAATTACAACTAGCAGGCTCACATAGAGAGTGAAATAGATGAAACTGACTTTGGCATGTTGTTCAGGCAGAAATGACTAGACATGGTGATATGTCAATGAGATTTAAAGGCAAGATGCAAGGGTAGCAAACATAGTTAAAAGCACATTGATAAAACTTATATAAAAGAACATGGATTAAAAAATCACACAGATAGAAAGAAACATAATTTTTCTAGAGAGGTCTTTCCTAACCATCCAATGTAAAATACTCTCTGCCTCCCATCATTTCTATTTTCATCATTATTTTTGTCATTCTTAGAAATTATCTTCCTCGATTATTATTAAGTGTCTTCCCCTACTAAACATAAGCTCCTAAGAATAGAGAGTTTATGGGCTGGGAAGGTGGCTCAGTGGTAGAGCGCTTGCCTAGCATGCATGAGGCCCTGGGTTCAGTTCCTCAGCACCACATAAGAAAAAAGAAAAAAAAGAGTAGAGAGTTTATGTAGTTCACTAGTGTAAAATCAGTGCCAAGAGCAATAGCTTGCAAACAGAAGGTAGTTAATAAGTATTTATTGAAAGGATAAATGGATAATTTAATAATAGAGAATACTGAGTAGCCTCATGGAAAACAAATTTATGCCCTTTTTTCTTTCTATATAAAAATAATAGTTTTAATGATGGTGTCCTTATAAATAAGTGGAAAATCCCACAACATCTAGAACTTTATGTCTTAAAAAATAATACGCTCATCCATCATTCAGACTTCCACTTTGCTTAACACTAAGTAGGCAAAGGTAGACTATTCTTTTCTTACCTTGTTCACAAGAAGAGCAAATAAAATGCAGCTGAAGGAGCTTGCAGGGTACTGAAGTCTGGGTTAATGGCCTTTTTATAGTAAGTCCATTCAGGGAGGAGCCACCCTCTGTGGGATGGTCTGATTCATTCTTCACCAAACCCAGATCCACCCATATCTTCACCTCTAGTGACATGTGTTTACTTCCCAACTTGCTCACGTACTCATCTGTACTTGTTTTATCCAGCTCCAAATTTAGATTAACACAAACCCCGTATTTTAGAGACTTTATTCAGGGGTCTGTTTGGCTATTGCAAGTTCTTTGTGTACCAGAATCTGTACCATCTTTTTTGCAGTTCTCATTTTGATCTGAGTGG